TCTTCGTTTTCCTTTACTAATTCAGCCTTTAAACAGATAAGGGGGAGGCAAAAATAACAGAGCCATTATCTTTAAGTATTTGCTATACTACCTTTGATATTCAATGTTCATCCACCTACCCCCACCCCGAAATTCAAGTAAAATATTAATGTGAAACCCAACATTTAAAGTAGCTAGACTCTGGTTGCGGGCTCCATCTCCAGTGTGGGGTATGCAGGAGGCAGCCAATCAATGATTCTCTCTCATCATTGATGTTTCCATCTCTCTCTCTCCCTCTCCCTTCCTCTTTGAAATCAATAAAAATATACTAAATAAATAAAGTAGCTAAATTCTGAATACGCAGTGATGACACAGATTTATTACATGCTGAGTCAAGTGCTGAGCATTATGTTTTTTTCCCTTAGCATACTTTGCTATACCACTGAGAATCCTTTTGTCTGTGCAAATCAGAGGAAAGCTTTTAAATAGAGGAACTGAGCATGATTCAGCATATTTAAAAAGAATTTATACCCATTCTTAGAAGGACAACCAGAGGAAACACCATCTGAGGTCTAAACAATGATATCTGCTTGCCCTTTGATCTGCATTTAAGGACACTTTGTACAACTTTTTTGTTGAAATACCACTGAATTTCACCATTTACTATTTTAAATCTCTTTAGGAGAAAATTTGCTTTTTTGAATCACACTCTCCGAACTATTTTTGCTGTGAGTAGTTTGCAGGCATGGGTTCATTTGCTGCTAACAAAAATCTTCCTTCATAAGTACAGGCAGCTTAAATGAAAAATAATTCCACTGATACTATGTTTATGAGAAAAAGACAGTACAATGTATCTGGTTACACATACAAGTGGGGAGTATTCCCATTTTTCTTCTAATTTATGTTTCCCAAGAGTAATATTGTCAGAAGATTGCCAGTATTTTTAGAATAAGTTTCTTATTACTTGTACTAATACATTCTGATTCCCTTTTCTGAGCATAATTTGAGTTATTTCAATTTATCCTAGCATCTGGAGATCAACATCTCATTAATTCAAAATAAATAAATGAAATCTGAAATGAAGATTTAAAGAAACCTTTGCACTGGTCTCAAATGTAATGCATATTACAAATTAATAATACATATGGGTAACTAATACAAAAGAGGTCTATTAATAAACCATTATGATATACATCAAATACCAAGAAACCGCAATATCCTAAATGCTTTCACTTACTTGCAGGTATAGCATTCTAAATGATCACCCAGATTAGTGAAATATACATTTTAAATGGGAAATATGCCCATGTTTTCATCAATTCAGTTTTTATAAAGCATCTCTCATGTGCTCGGCGTTATGTTAGGAACTTAGGTTACGATAATAGATAAGCCTGGTTGCCTTTTGAGGCTGATATCCTCCAGGGGTGACAAATAAATGACTAAGCAAATTTAAAAAGACAAAAATATACTTGTGATAAGTGCAACCAAGGAAATAAACAAGGTGATGGTAAAGGGGGGGGGGGGGGGGGAGAGAGTGCGGGCAGCACTGATTTCTATGGAGTAGTTAGAGAAGGCTCCTCTCAGAAGGTGAATTTTAAGCTAAGACCTGAGGATATTTCAGGATACTTCTCCAAGGTCACCAAATTGGCAGGCTTGTTTATTAGGCTGCCAAGACATTTTTAGAATTAGAAAACAAGTAGAAAATGCCATCTGTGGCCCTGATTGAATGCAGGTTCACGAGTACACCAGCTTTGCGGGCACACTCTGCACACCAGCCAGCTACCATTTAGGAGGTTACACACCCCAGCCTACTCAGCAGGAGTGGGTTTAAAACAGTCAGTATAAACAACAGGAGCTGGTCCAATGACTAGAGGAACTTATCCTGTTGATTCATACTTCCTGATAGCCACTCTAGCTAACAAGGATCAGGGTTTTCAAATGTGTCTCATGAGTAAATAATTCCTCAGCCTCAAGGGAAAATGATGTTTACAACTATATAACACTTTCCCTTATAACTTATCTAACTCAGTGGGTATAAGAGTACTTTAAAACACGGAGCTGTGACATGGATTTTTCTGTAGGTTCTTTAATAGACTAATCATGTAATGCGGCTAACAGGCCATTGACACAGATTAGGAAATCCGTGGAATTCTCCCAGCATCCTTAGAGAATCCACATTGCTAAGCAATTACTTTCTTCAACAGAACTGTCCTGCTCAGAGCCATTTTAGCCTCTCATTATGAAATCCCCATTCTTACTGCTAAATGGATTAAGATGAAATAGAATTGTTTGACTGGCAGGGGCATGGCTTTGTGACTTGAATTCCACTTATCTGGAGAGGGTTTTCTCCTCTAAGCACACAGTAGTCCAGATCTGGACCTGTGATTGGTAGTTACAACTTGCAGTCAGAAAGCCCAGGGGTTTGATAGGAGGGGCCTGGGGCAAAGTTCGCCACCCAGGAATCTCTTTCAGTTCTGTATCAGCTGGGGTGGGGGTGGACGGTGAAATTAACACTAGCATTGTTGCATTCTCTTGGAATTTTAACTTTTTCAGTGGTATTTTTTTTTTAATCTTTAGCACTCCTTTATGAAAAATGAAAGCATCCCTAAGGAGATATTGTGTTAAACCATCACTTTTGCAGTATTAGTTGGCAACCAAGGTCCAGCCGTGTGACTCAGAAGCAATGTGTACCTGTAGACCAGGAGAGGTCAGAAAAGCAAGGGAGGAGAATTTCAGAGTTCATTAAACGCAGTGGGTGTCATCATACTTCAGGCCAACTCTCACAATTTCAAACACCATCTAAGAGGCTGTGGCTCCCAAACATTGGCATCACCTGGGGATCTTTAAAAATGCTAATACCCGGCTTCCACCACACGCATTCAGATTTAATTGGCATAAATCCCTCCTGGGCTTCTGGATTTTTGAGGTGTAGCAAATTTGGGAGCTACTAACATAAGGAAGCACTGCTCTTAATGGATTACTGGGATGATTTATTGAGTTCCTTCAGACATCAGAAATCTCCTAGGCTAGTGCTTGTTGACCATGGTAGCACATTAGAAAAGTCTAAGACACTTAAAAAAAAATAAATAAATAAATAAATAAATAAATAAATAAATAAATAAATAAAGACACCAGAGACTACCCTCAAAGACTCTGGCTTCATTGCTCAGAGGAGGAGCCCCAGATGCCTTAGTTCCCTAAGTGTCCTCGGGTGATGCTAATGGCAGCCAAAATTGACAATCATGGTCCAAGCCCAGGAACTGTTTTCCTGGAGACTACAATGTGATTCTCTGCTTCCACTTGGTCCAGATTGGGACGATCCACAGAGGAAATAAAACATTTCCCCAAGGCTGTCCGGGAAACTTATGTGTGTGGGGGGGTGGGGGAGGGGCGGTGAGGAAGAGGACAAGTGGTGGACTTTACTAAGCCAGAAGAAACAGAGTTGTTAGAATAAGGAATAGCGCTTGTCCTCCGCACCCCCTCCCGAAACTTGATGGACTGGCGGGAGAATTTCCTTAGAATGCTTCCTGGAAGTAGCTCAACCTTGGATTCGGTTCCAATAAATTGTGAAAATTCTTGTCCAATCAGAGCCCCTGGCACTGCAAGTAGCAAGATTGGCAGGCCCCTAGCCTCACTCCCTGAGAGATTCTGTTTCACGAATTTCCCAGGAGGATTTCTGCACCACTCAGATGCCAGTCATTCTGCTTCACTTCTCCCCTCCCCCTTCGCCCGCATTCCTCCCTTCTTCCGCCAAAACTCAGCGGAGTTAAGAATCACCCCATACATGTACTTGTAAACAAATCGCCAAAATATTTTGCATGGGAGTCATCCAAGTAACTAATGCCCTTAGATGACGGACCCAAGTCTTGGACGTGGCTTGGCGACGTGCCTGCCACTTTGGCGAGTAAGTGTCTGCTAACCCGTTCGGAGTCGTGCGGCCGCAGGAAGGGAAGTCAGCGGAGACGCACCTCCCAGGCCGCCACACCCACCCCGGGCGCGGCTCCTGCATCCCAGGTTCTCCCCGCGGGGAACGCGCGCCCACACTCCCTCTGGGCGATTTAAGGGGAGTCAGCTTCTGAATGAAGAGGAGCACAGACTGAAGGCACTGGCTGGGGGGGTGAGGTGGGGTAGGGGGTGGGGAGGGCCTTTACCCAGTTCCCCTTCACAGATGGGAAACCTGGGGTGGGGGTGAGGGGAGGCTCCGCAGCTCCGTCGGGGTTTGCCACAGAGCATTTGCGGCGCAGCCCGATTTAGCCGCCCTTAAATTTCCATTCTGTTGCCTGGCAACCGGCTCAGACCAGCTCAGCCTGGCCCCGGCCCCGGCCCCGGCCCCGCACCCTTTCCCTGCCCGGGGACTGGAAGTTCGCCCTCGGGCACTGGCCAGAGGCGTGTGAGACAGGTGCCTGGGCTGGCTTCCCCCGTGGGGCTCGGGCTCCAGCCCCAAACCAGGCCAGCCCTGCGGGCAGGGCTGGCGCGCCCTCCGCGGTCCCTTAGGCACCCTCCTCGGCCACCCTCCGCCCCCAGCTCCGTGGATGCCACTCCACACAGTCATGTCAAGTTCCCAAAGTTCTCAGCCGCTGCCGGATTCCCTAAAAGTCCCAGTGGGAAAATTGGCACTTAGCGCGCTAAGGGTGCAAATAATAATAGTAGTAGTAGTAGTAGTAGTAGTAGTAGTAGTAGTAGTAGTAGTAATTGAAGGGGAAAGTGTTGGAGAGCCTTCTCCTTCCCAGCTGGTTACACTGCCACAGTCTAGTTAACTTGGCCCGAGCGGGGCTCTCTTGGGGAAAGAAAGCGCGGAGCGAGCTCTGGGGCGCCCGCAAAGCCGCGCTGCGGGACGCCGCCGGGGCGCTGGGCCCTCAGATGCCCCCGGGCCGCGCAGGTGGCGGAGCGCAGCCGCCCGTCCCTGGTCCCCGCCTCGCCAGCCCGGACCCGCGACCCTAGGACCCCTCCACCCTCTGCCCCGCACCGCCCCAGCCCGGGACCCGGAGAGGAGGTTTCCGCACGCCGCCCCGGCTCCTTACCCAGGTTCACAAAGCTCATGACCATGTCCGCGTCGCTGAGGAAGGCGCTGTCCTGCGCGCTGGCCAGCGGGGACGCGCCGCCGCCGAGTCCAGGGGCCAGGAGGCTCTTGCGGGGGACGGGGTGCGCTGCGCCCGGGGGCGGCGGCCCGGGCTGGGGCGCGTAGGCTCCTCTCCGGGGCCAGGGCTGCCGCCGCTCCGCGCCCGACGGCCAGTCCTCGTCCTCACCGTCGGACAGGGCGTTGTACAGGTCCAGCATGAAGAGGGGCGCGGACTTCAGCCGCCCGGGCGGGGGCTCCCCGCGAGGTTGCTGCTGCGGGAGCGCAGGCGGCGGCGGCTGCTGGAGGCCGTGCACGGGCCGGGGCCGGTGAGGGAGCCCCAGCACCGACAGGATCTCCTTCTGCATCTCCCGCTTCTCCTGCGTCTTGAGCCGGCGGTAGAGGAAGCCCGAGGAGGAGGCGGGCGGCGGCGGCGGCTCCGCGTGGCCCGGGCTCCCGCCGGCCCCCAGCAGCGCACCCCCGCCAGTGGCCAGCGCCGGGGGCCCGCAGCAGCTACACAGCAGCCCCCACCACCAGCACAGCCACTGCGCCCTCCGCCCCAGCCCCGGCATCCCTGCCCGGCCGGGCTGGCCTCGTGGGCCCCGCGAGGCGTGGAGCGGCGGAGCGAGGCCGGAGCGCGGCCGCGATGGCCCTTGGCGTGGACAGCCCCCGCCACCTCTCGGCGGGCTCGCTTCCCCTTCCTGGCCCTCAGTCCTTATCTCTCATGGTCCGCTGGGGCGCCCCCGATGGCCCAGGATGCAGGGGAGGCCAGGGGGGCCAGGGAACCGCACTCCCGCACTAGCCTCCAGAAGCGCAAGGTCCAGGCCAGGTGCGTCCGGGTGAGTCCAAGTGGCTTTGAGGCGCCCCGGACCCCGGGCAGGTCCCGCGGGGTCGCTCCCCGCCTCGCTGCCCGCGCAAGTGCGCTGTCCCGCTCCCCCTGGGTGGCCGAGTGGGACCCGGGGCGGCAGGGGAGAGGGACCGCTCACCAGCTCGGGAGACTGCCAGGCAGCATCCCCGCGCACGCTGCCCAGGCTCGCTCAGCCGCTGTGAAGTTTACCCGGCTGAAGGGCCCGGGCTGTGGCGACCAGGAGTCCGGGGATGCCAATCTTCTCCGCGACGCCGAACTCCCTTCTCGCTCACAAACTCCTTGCCCCTCCGCCCTTGGGCACTATCGCTTCCCCTCAAAATCTCCCCGAGCTGCTGCTCGACTCCCCAAGCGGGGGCGTCAAGGATCTTCCTTTCCGTTCAGTGTTCTCCCGGCTACCCTGCCAAACCCTCTCACAGAAGGGACAGGAGGGAAGGGGACCGATGCACGGAGCAGGGGTCGCGGTGTCCGCCACGCGATTCGCAGCCTCTCGGCGCCGCGCGCTCCGCAGCAGCCAACGTGGGCTCTCTGGTGCGCCCTCGCTCAGGTACCGCACTCCGGCCCCGGGACTCCCCGCCTTCCCGGGGAACGGGCAGGCAGGCAGCCAATGGAGAGGCCCGTCTCTCCAGTATTTGCATAGGCCCGCCCCCTTCTTTCACCCTCCCTCTCCCCCCGAGGCGTCGCCTGGGCGGCGCGTAGGTTCCAAATACACAGACAATTCTTAGAGGCACCCGGGGAGTCCCGAGGTAGCAAAGGCAGAGGGCGTCATCACCGGTCAGAGTGATCTGATCAGCACCGCAATGTGAATCACACAAAGCGCCTCAACTGATTAACCGAAAAAAAGTAAAATCAGCTGCTAAGTCAATGTTGGTTTGAGGAAGAACAGAAAAGTGATAGTTTTCCCATTCCTTTCTGAGTTTCTCATATTGATGTATAATATAGGCGTCCAGTGGACACGTGGCTTTCAAAGGCAGCTGCTGCAAGTCAGGACACACCCTTCCAGAAGCAGCTCACAAACTGGCCGTGGAGCAGGCCAAATGCAAGCCAGACCCAGCGTCTGGAAGGTTGAGGGCCAAATATTTTGACTTATCTCTTCATTTGGATTTTGGCTTGGCTTCTTAAGCTAGCACCCAAAAGGAAGAGAGAGACTGTGACCAGATAAAATAATTAAAATGCCTCCCGCTAGCTTCTTGAAAATGTTTCAATGCTTCTTTGGTTTGTTTGTTAACATTGCATTTTAAAATAGATACAAGACACATTATGCAAGCTAATTCCAGTTCCCACTCTGGACAGTAAGATAGAGCTCTGAAACTCAAGATTGAGCGTTAGACAAGATCAAATATGTAAAACACATGTTCCACTTTCATGGCAGGTACCACCATCTGTCTTTCAGGATGTAAATTTATTTGTACTTATACTATCCAAGAATGCTCAGTAACCTATAGATCCTAGCAAATTCACTTAAAACATTAGGCACTTTTACCTGGTGAAACATGTGTGGATTAAAAAACAAAAACTGCCATTTGCTGGACCTAGCAGCCTTAGTTCAATAGTCCAAGCTTTTGAGAGCCAGAATATGGGATTTGTGGACTTAATGAGATCCTGGGGTTTCTGTTGATCAGAGCTTATAAGCATTTTTATCTTATTTCAATGAATCGGTTTTGCAAGTGTCTTTACCTCCCACCATACAGTCGTCCATTGGCTCACCCTTTCTCCCTCTGTCTTGGCCCAGACACAGTGGTCATTTAGGACAGGCTTTAATTCTACAGATGTCCCATAGCCATTGACCTCGGGCAAGACAATTTCAACAGCACTGGAGGCCAGTTTTTAACCATCTGCAGGGATTCTTTTCATCTGAAAAGAGAAGACATCACGACTTGGTCTGGAATGCAGGACTCTTAGAATTCAAGAGCCTACATCACATCTCTGTCTGCATGGGACCTATTATGAGCATAAAATTATTGCAGTGCATAAAATCACAGTAGCAAGATTCTGATCAGAAGGTCTGAAATCTCTAAGTATATGTAGGCTTCCTGCCAAGATCCTCTTTTCTCAAACTTAGTCACATCTTCTTTTTAAAACTTCTAGTGAGCCACAAGCATAGTAAAAGTAGCTTAAACCAATAAGGGCAGTGGGGAAAGCACTAGAAAGACTGTAAATGCCTGATCATTTAGGTAGGGTTAAGCAGTTTAAAACACACCTACATGCACCTTTGGTAGATGCATATATGATCTAGTAGAGAAACACACACACACACACACACACACACACACACACACAGAGTTTTCCCATTTTCTTAGATACTTGGTAAGAGGTAGATGGGCCTGTGTGACATGGGTCTAAAATGGCATTTAGTGATTTATTTTTAATTAAACATCTGAGCAGCAACCCTGATTCAGGTCTTCCATGGACTCCCCTTCCCCACCAAGATGGTATCTCAGTTCTTGTATAAAGGGGGTGGGCATGGGGCTGATGATGAACTCAAGAGCACATAACTCTGTGAAGAGCCAGGACAAAAATGTGTGAAGTGAATTATGACAATGGTCATATGGACGATGACATTCAACTGAAGGCCACAAAAGAGGGTGTGCTCCTCTCATGTCCCCACCACTCCCAGCAGGTGCCCATGACTGTCAGAAAACACTCAGAAACGCCCTTGGTTCCATTGGTGGCAAAGGGGATAAAGAGATGTGGTTCTAGAGTTTTACCATGTTTCCCCGAAAATAAGACATCCTCTGAAAATAAGACCTACTTACAAGTTTCCTTCTGAGTGAAATATAAGGCATCCTCCCGAAAATAAGGCCTCCCTAGGCTAAACATGAGAGATTTGGTCCACTGATTCTGAAAGAAATGGAGTCACAAGAAATTCACCAGGAGATTCAGGAATTGGATTGTTATGATGATGTTCCAGAAGATGATGACATGATTGTCATTGAATAAGTGAGTAAATTCTTGATATTGTAGGATTCACAGTTTGTCTGGTTTGTGTTGACAACTACCGTACTACCATACCATATACAGGTAATAAATTTCCTTTTTCCTTATCGTATACAGGTAATAAATTTTCATTTAACAATAAATGTGTACCATATTCTTCTTCATGGAAAAATAAGACATCCCCTGAAAATAAGACCTAGCGCATCTTTGGGAGCAAAAATTAAAATAAGACACTGTCTTAATTTCGGGGAAACAGGGTAATAACCTCATAATGGGGACCACTGCTTTTCCAAGCCAATTGGAACTTCAGGTAGATAAGGAACCCCTAACCACCACCTCACACATGCCCTGCTTCTGTGACCCATTCCCATGACACACCTCACACTCCCCAAAAGTCTTAGGACAGAGAACTGGACAAAGTCCAGCTGTGATTCAGAGAGAACAGGTCTGGCTCTGGAGTCTGCTGGAATGTGTGAACCAAACCAACTGTAGAAAAATTAGAGGTAATTTCGCCCTCTGCAGGACACCAAAATATTGTCACCCCTTCCTCTGCGATGGACAAGCTTCATTAAGTTCTCTGTGCTTGTCTCCAAAACATCTGGGTGGAAAGAGGAGGAATTCAGTCAAGAAGCCGGATGTGGGACTCAATCCATATCACACATCTGGTTGCTTGGCTGATATTTCATGCAGATGGCCGTCAGTTTTCTGGAAATATTGCCTGTCTCACTCCTGCCCCCTTAGCGAAAGAGTGAAGAACTCTCACTACAAAGCACAGGTTTGTCCCATGCCTTTGGTGAAAATAAGGGTTAAGGTGAGAATCCTGTACCCAAATGTTCATTAGTGCACAGGGTAATTCACACACAAATTCTCTAAAGCAGCAGTTATCCTTGTTCCTTTTATATTATGAGGATTTCTGTTACACCTTTATAACACAGAGGACCAAATAATTTGTCTTCAAAAAATGCTGTTTATTAATTTGGCATGTTAAATATTCTATATTTTTCTTTTAATTATATTACTAGCAATAAACTGCATTGAATTCTCTGATTTTGTACTAAAACATATCTTGGCCCCTTTTAACAGAGCTCCCTTAAGATGTAAGGTAGCTGATTTTAGAATTATGTTAACATATAAGTGTTTTAGCAACTAGTATGCTGTTCTTGTGTCAAAAAGCCTGAGGTCTGGCCGCCTCGAGTCCTTGGGAAACTCACTTAAAATGACTGCAGTTTATCTTTAATATTAATGTAAAGAGTTGGGTATTTCTTAATATTAATTTCTAAATATAATATTTTGCTCACATTTTAAAAATATCAATCTGGAGTGGAGTGAAAAGGAAATATGTTAAGCCAATGTTTGTAGAGTATGAGAAATGAAAATTTGAGAGTTAAATAAATATTGCTTCTGAAAGCTACACCTGTAAGACAGTCTTCAAAATATATGCCCCATCCAAAAGCCTGTGGTAACATTTACATTCACTCACACTTTCCTTCACTGTCAACCATTCAAAAATGCTGGGCATTCACACTTCAAAATATCCTTCGAGCCATCATATTTTCCTACTCGTGAAGGACATCTGGTGGCAAAGTGAAAAACTAATACATAAACCTGTTTCCAGAGTTTTTTTTTCCACACTACAACCCACAGAGCAAATCTGTTACTGCTGTGTGCTTCCAACTGTTCACACAACTCAGATCTTTATTATCGGAGGAGTTCAGCTGTCTATTAAAATGGAATCTTTAGAAACATCCAAATGATTGGTCTTTACATTTT